CAGTGATTTTGTGTTGAAGCCCACACACATACACAGCTTTAGCATTGCGTGTTCTGGATCTTCTGACTCTCCAGTTAGTTTATTGGCACAGCAGGTCTTGGTTTTGAAGTGAGAAAAACTTGTGTTGGTGACGGGGAGATGTGCCCTTGGAAACACTGTTCTAACTTCTCAGTTGGGCTGGTTGCTTATCTTGCCACAAATGATCATTGAACCAAGTCTGTCCATCCTGTTATTATTCCAGTTGGAGGGCAGCCACACACCCGAACCAAAGGAAAATGGAGAACAAGGTTGTCTTCAGAACGGTCTTTCTCTACCCATTGTAGAAGAAGGAGAAGTCCTATCTCACTCTCTGGAAGCAGAGCACAGGTGAGGATAAGATGTATGGTGTAGAAGACCCTTAGACATACTTAAAACTTAAGAGAGATGTGACCTTGAAATCCTGGCCCCACGTTAGCCATTTGCCCACTGGGCCTTCTCTCAGATTTTGACCTTTTTTCCACAGTCCCCATTGTATTTGTGCAGTTTAATTTAGACTTCAGTTTTAGGGATGTAGTCAGGGCAGAGAAGATTTTCTATGGGTGTGTTGGCCCCACCCAGCAGTTACTGTAAAATCTCTTTAAAAGGAATTTGAGGAGCCACGGAATCGTGTATATGGACCCGACTGTTTTAACTGAAGGCCTTGTCTATAGGCAGAGTAATCTGCCTTCTACAGCCATGTAGCAGATGGCACCTGCCAAGTACGGCAGTACTTCTCACAGGAAGCTTGTGGTTCTCGGCCTTCCTAACACTGTGGACCTAACAGTTCCTCATGTTGTGGTGACCCCCAGCCATAAAATTATTTTTGTAAATACTTCATAGCTGTAATTTTGCTACTTATAGGAATAATAATATAAATATCTGATGTGTAGGATATCTGGTATGTGACCCTTGTCAAAGGGTCTTGACCTCCCAAAGGGGTTGTACCCCACAGGTTGAAAACCACTGGTCTGGAGGCGCTTCAGGGTTTAGTGAGGTTATGTGAGAGCTCCAGAAAGCCACAAAATTGAAAGAGCTGTGGAGCCCAGAGAGGTATGCAGTTTGTTCACAAGGAACAAAGACTAACTTCTTGCTCCTTCTCCGTTTGTATCTATGAAAGCCTTCTGTGTAGCAAGGTTTTGTTTTTGTTTTGTTGTACCATCTTATCTTCTGTTTCTACTCTTTTAATAGGTCACTTTCCCTTTAACCGTGAAGAGCCTCCATTTAGATATGAACAACTGAGTAACTTGATCTACTAGGGAGAAGACAGAATTCCTTCTGTAACATCCATTGGCCTTGGGCAGTCACACGGGGGCTAGTAAGGCTGCGTGGTCAAGCTTACCAGCATCATGTTGACTTGCCTGTCTTTTTGCCTCCTCCAGGTTATTAAAAGCAATGGGATGGCAGGAATATCCTGAAAATGATGAGAGTTGCCTTCCACTCACAGAGGATGAGCTCAAGGAGTTCCACATGAGAACAGAACAGGTAGGCACTCAGCCCTGAGTGAGCCATCTCTGACACTAAACTAACTGCTTAAGAGTCAGTCTCCTACCCTGTCTTTAGACACCACGTGTGGTGATGATGCACGGCTTTAATCCCAGCCAGGTCTACATTGGTTGGAGAGATGGCTCAGCAGTGAAGAGCACTGGCTGCTCTTGCAGAGGACCTGGGTTCAGTTCTCAGCACCCACATGGCAGCTCACAACTGTCTGTAACTCCAGTTCCAGGGCATCTGAAACCTTCACACAGACCTACATAAGGGCAAAACACCAATGAACATAAAACAGGTTCTTATTATGTAATCCTGGTAGTTTGGAATGTAGACCAAGCTACTTTGAACCTACAGCAATCCTCCTGCCTCTGTCTCAAAGTTGCTAAGATTACAGCCATGTCCTACTGAAGCTGGCCAGGAAACTCTAAAATTGAGCGGTGGGTGTCAGACTGCCTTTACAGTAGGAATCTCAGAAGATAGAGGCCAGGCCAGTGAGCAGATTTAGAAACTAAGTAACAGGTTCCTTGCTCACAGCTCTAAACTCTTACCAGAACCACAAGGCTGTGCTCAGAAAACCATCCCTGTCCTTCTGGTACTCTGACCAGAGCAAGGTAACCAACAGGCTCATGTAAACTGACTCAGTTGATGCTTGGATTCTTGCTGAGTAAAATACCACTAGATCCTGGGTTTTCAATACCAAAATGAACAAGAGAAATGAAATTTCTACAGCCCTCATTCGCATATCCTCCTCTGCAGCATAGATAATGGGCTGGGAAAGATGCCTGGTGGTGGAGAAGATGCCCAGCTCTTCGTAGGACCTGAGTTGGATTCTTGGCAGCCATGTTGGTTCACAACCACGTGTAACTCCAAAAGGATTTGAGGTCTCTGGCTTCCATGGATACCACACACATAAAAAATAAAAATCTTGGCCAGGCAGCAGTGGCTCACGCCTTTAATTCCAGCACTTGGGAGGAAGAGCCAGGCAGATCTCTGAGTTACACAGAGAAACTCTGAAAAAAATCCAAAAATAATAATAATAATCTTTAAAGCATAAATGACACTGGAGATTCTCATAATGGGGCAGTGTAGCAGGAATCTTAAAGAGTCTTATTAATAAAATCAAACCTGAGCCTGGTATTGGGGAGAACTGGAAGATCAGAGAACCGGAACAAGCCACAGCTAACCTCACCTGGCCAACTTCTCAGATAATCTTGTTTCCTCAGACTGGAGGAAGCCTCTGAGTCCTCATCCCAATGGCTGTCAGTTGAACTGCTGTTCCAAAGCCTGAAAGCTTAACCAGCCAAATGCTGCTAGTTTCTGGTCCTCACGCCTTATATACCTTTCTGCTTTCTACCATCACTCCCTGGGATTAAAGGTTCGCTTCCTGGGATTAAAGGCATGAGTCACCATGCCTGGCCGTTTCCAATGTGGCCTTGAACTCACGGAGATCCAGAGGGATTTTTACCTCTGGAGTGCTAGGATTAAAGGTGTGAGTGCCACCATTTTCTAGCCTTTGTATCTAGTGGCTGTTCTGTCTCTGACCCAGATAAATTTATTAGGGTGCACAATATTTGGGGGAACACAATACCACCACAGGGCAGTGTGTGCAGGCTGTTTGAAAAGATTGAAGAGATGTTACATCTTTTGGGATTCCCCTCCACTCTCTGCAGTTCCTTCCATCTTCATGGACCAGTATAGTCATTGGAGGGTTTTATTTTCTCTCTCCTGCATAGCTACGAAGAAATGGATTTGGAAAGAACGGCTTCCTGTTGAGCCGCAGTTCCACCCTGTTCTCTCCTTGGAGAAGCACTATGAATCCCGAGTGTGAAGACTCCGACACAGAAACCAGCAGCAGCGAGACATCGGATGACGACGCCTGGAAGTGAAGACTGAGTGCTCACGGTTGACCTGCCCCATGAGCTCAGCTTTGTGTTCGAGAATATAAAGTGTTCTTTTCCTTTTCTTATGTTGTGGAATACTTCATGCACAAGGGAAATAATCACATCCCAAAGAGAGAGCAATTGTCTTGCTTAGCTTTGTTTTGTTCTCTGTTATCTGCTTAATAGAGAGACAGTTGTGTGGTGGAATTTTTTAAGCACACACACAGTACCTGTGGGCCGTGCACAAGTGGAAGCTGGCTGTGCAGAGATGCGGGGCCGTGGCTCTGCTCCACAGCTGCTCCTCCAGCCCTTGGGCACTCACCCCAGTGCTCAAGCAATCATTGTCAATGACAAAGTGACTATTGAAGTTATAATTGTATTAAATTAATGCTAATAATTTGGATATTTTATTTTATTTTTTTGGCTGCTCGGGTAACTTAGCCCTTAACCAAGCATATGTGGTTGTTTTTTGTTTTATTTTTTTTTGTTTTTGTTTTTCTTTTTTTCTTTTTTGGGTACAGCTGTAAAATATTTGGATATAGGAAATGTTATTCTTGCAGCCTTGATATTCAGGGTGGATTGTAAAATATGAATTTTTGTGAGATTTCAAAGATTAAGATTATTTTGATAACATTATTTACAGATTTAAAAGATGTGGTTATCACAAGTCTGTTGAGGGGAAAAACTACTGCATAAAATAACTAACGTGGAATAAATATTTTGCATCAGTTTGGATTGTCTTGTGTAAGAAATATATTTTCTTTAAAATTAGAGAATGGATTCTTTTTTTTAGGGGAAATACTTTTAGAAGTTTTGGGAGAAAACTGAATTCAGCACCACCTGAATTCCTTTTCCTTTCAGCAGAAACTCTTGATGCAGAAGAACCTGTGCAATAAATTATTCATAATAAAGAAACTACATTTTCTTTCCTGAAAGAATTTTTTTAGTGCCCAGGATTTACCAGTATGCATGGGTTTGGGGACTTTATGACTTGGTTTTCCTAGTTAATAGGAAGTGAGGACATGGGGAGTGGCCAGTGAAGTAGTTGTTTTAGAAAAGATGAAACCTTAGAACAAAGTTTTATGGACTAGAAATTTAACATTTGGAACCAGCATCCTTTGGTTGTCCCTACTAGATACAAATCAGTATCATTCCTTGATAAGACAGGGAAATGAGGAATATATAAGCTTGAGTGCAATGTTCAAAAAGGAAGTGTAGTGTGGGCTCGGCCAGCGGAAAGATGGAGGTGAATGTATCGGGCTATCTATCCACTGCACGATGAAGACCAGGAAGGTGGACTGTGACGGAGCCCATGCTGCCTGCAGTCCGGACAAGTGACTGAAATGACTGGAGATGCAGCAGTGACAGTGATTGACAGGGGGTGGGGGTGTAGCAAGATGGAGTAAGGTTCCTTCCCACTGAGGAACAACTAGCTTCAAGTGTTCCCTGCAGTGGAGAATCGCAAGCACTCACTTGAATTCTGTCCACTTCAGAGAACAGCAGTGACACAAACACTTCCCTGTCCGGCTATGAAATGACCAAAGTGATAAAGGCCCAGTTAGGTGAAGGGGGCTGTCTTTTTCTATAGGCAAGGAAATCGAAGCTGCTGCCACAGACTTGGCCAAACTCATGCGATGGGTGGAACAAACTGGGTGACACTTTCTCAAGTGGGGCTCCTCCCAAAGTTGGCAAGGTGCATACATCCTCCTGGCATGCCTAGGCCTGTACTTGCAGCCCAGGGAGCTTGGACACCTCCCCAAACATAAACAAATTGGAAGGTCTTGGAGATGTAATAGAGTTGGCTTTCCTCTCTGTTCTTTCTCGGCTCCTTTGCCACATCTTCTGTAGGACTCGGCTGGTTTCAGGAAGGGATCACATCCCATGGCCGATTACTCTGGGGAGTCGGGATTTCTGACCTGTGAGTTCTGTGATATGGTTTTCCGCTCCTGGGCTTTGTTGGCTACCCATACCCAGCGATTCTGCATTGGCCGGCTGACTCCGGAGGTGGCACATGGAACACAGCCTTCAGTAGCCATGGAACAGCGGGGCACCACGGTAAGGGTCGCCTATGTATGACTGGGGCTAGGTTTTCCAGCAAACAGTATTCTCAGGAGTCTCCCTGTCCCCAGATTGTGACACAAGAACAACTGAGCCGTTCAGAGCAGGAGGCCAGCAAATCAGCTCTAAAGATGTTGACAGAGGAGGTACACAACATAAACATAGCTACAAATTTCATTATCTGTAGATAATGCTTGCGGGAGATCACCCAGTTCAGGGATAGCGGGTCCCGTTACCTGCAGGTGCAATTGCTGAGGCTGTCGCTACGGGAAAAGAGTCCCTGGGCAACTGAGGGTCCCACCTCCCAGACTGCAGGGAGCCCTGGCGAGAGGCTGCGGGCATTGCAGGGAATCCGCGCCAGGCGCGTGGCGGAGACTGAAGCGCAAAGCCGGGCTCTGGAGCGCCGCGGCGAGGGTGAGAGGTAGGGTGGCGTGGACGCTGGGCCTTCCCGCCGTGCGAGCACTCACCCTGACTCAGCCCTGTCTCCCTCAGAACTAAAACGGCGCCTCCTTGACGTAGCGGGACCCAGGGGGGAATTATCCGCGCCATTCGGCCTGGAGCGCCAGCTCCGCGAACTCAGGGCAGAGGCCGGCCGGACGCGCGGCGCTCTGCAGATGCTGGGGGCGCGCATCCTTGCGCTCCAGTCGCAGCCCAGGTGAGGCTCTCTCCGGAGCCCTGCGGGAGCGCGGGTGGGACGGGGCCTTGGGCGCTGGTCCGTGACATCATCTCCCCGTGCCAGCATCCAGAGGGGCTCTCTCAAGGAGGCTGAGTTCTGTTGCCCTCCGCTACCGGTCAATCCGGGAACGCTGCCCGCCCAGATCCGGTGAGGTCCCGGAACAAGGGTTATGTGGGGGGGAGGCGGTAGGAGCGGAAGGCTCTTCAGTCTGGGAAGACTGCATTCTGCCGCCTACTTGCTAGGGCTCTACGTGAGGCCTACGTGCGCGGTGGAGGCCGGGACCCCGGAGTTCTGGACAAATTATGGCAGCTGCAAGTGGAGGCGTCAGCCCTGGAGTTGCGGCGGTCGCAGAACCACAAAGGTGAACAGAAGGGACTAGCCTACACTACAGGGCCTTTCCACACCGAGGTCCTAGACTTGGGAGGAGAAAAGGGTGTGAGGGAGCGCACCAGCAGTATGGGAGCCAGCTGACAAATCCAGACTTGTGCAGAAAACCTAACGATGGAGAACTACATAAAGGATGACATGTCACTTTAATGCATCTCAGAAAAAGCAAGTGCCACCTCTGAAGAGCTTCTAGTAGTGGAAGCCGAAAACCGGCTTCTGGAGGCAGAGATCCGGACCTTGCAGAAGAAGGGCCTGAGTCTGGCACCCTGGGGTCAGTGAAAACCCAACTCCTCCCTAGCCCATCCCAGGGAACCCAACCCAGGGAAGGGGTGAATGCCTGGAGAATGAGTCCTTGTCTGTATCATCGGTTTGTGTCTGTGCGCCTATCCCTGTGTCTTTGGTATATGACCCTGTGTTCCCCAGTTTAAGGCTTCTTCCAGCTCAAACCAACTTGTTTGTTTCTAGGACCCAGGGGGTATCAACTCCCTGATCTCTGGTCACACCTGAGTAGAAGGGGCGATAACTCCCTCCTCCTTCCACCAGTTGCACCCCCAATGTCACCACTTACAAGTTCCATAAATGTCCAGAACTTCCGTGGCACTTCAACGTCTGTGAGGAAGTTGGCAGAAACTGGGTTGAAGGCTGGCAATCCTGACATGCAGTTTGGGGAGCACGGGCAATTTGCAGTTCTCTATGGTTGAACTCTTGTCCACAGCAGATACTTAATGGAACCATGACAAGGAACTTAAGTCTGGATCGTCACTTCCTCCTACCTGCATCTGATGTTCTAGGCCCTGCACCCTATGATCCTGGGTGAGATACCCTCTCTCCTTTACAGCCTATTAAACTCAGCCACTATAGACATTTAGCGGGACCCACATTAGACATCCAGAGTTGGAGTACTGGCTGGGGGGAGGCATTTGGTGTTTTTGTAATGAGATTTGTATTCTGCAGGGCTGGCCTTGTCATTTTCTATGACTTCCTTCGGGGCCTTGATGCTTCTTGGGTTTGGGTGCAGCTAATGACAAGCTTGACCCAGGATGGACAGGATATAGGAGGGACCACAATATTGCCCCCAGCCCTTTGCCTACCGCCACCATCAACTCCTGGACCTATGGGCAATTGTGCCATCCTTGCAAGCAGGCAGCCTGTACCCAGGTCAGTAGGGGTCGGGCATAAAGGCCTCGCCTCATGCTATTTAATCTGTACATGAGGGCCCCTGGCCCCTGAGGGCTGAGTCCTATAAAATCCCTAGGCTTTGATTGTTGTACAGGTTGCCTCCATCAGCACTGGTATCTTTGATTTGTGAACTACAAGCCTGGCAGGGAGTTACATGGGCACCACAACCAAAGGCTTGGGCCTCACTATTGCTATTTGACCAAGATAAGCATATGCTTAGTGGCCGTTGGCGCCTCCCACTTAAGGTCCTTCCTCCTAACTCCAACCTCAGCCTTGTCCAGCTGAATGCGATTCCCCAGGTGAGTGCAGAGGGTAGGGACTGGGTCTACTCCAGATTCAGATAAGAGTACCATTTACCCTCTCCCAGGCAGGTCAAGCTGAGCTCTTTCTAAGGCTGGTGAATTCAAGAGATGCAGATGTTCAGACATTGGCAGAGATCAATCCAGCAAGTGCCCATGAATACCAGTACCCACCACTGGTAAGAGTCCACTGCAGCTAGGAAGTATGACTGAGCAGCTTCTGCTGGCTAACCAAATTCTATTAGCTAATATGCATCAATGACTACATTAACCCATTTGATCCTTAAAACATACCCATTAAATACTGTGTGGCAGAAATAGAACACTTAACCTGAACCTGCTTTTTTTTAAACTTTGTCCTCAATTCAATTCTAAAATCTGTCTTTTTACCTCTAGTTTGCTTTAAAACAAAACAAAAAACCCTACCTTTTCATGTTCTACAGGTATCCAACTCATCTTCAGTGGAAACCAGTCCCTTCGCCCACAGTTCTGGCTTCGCTGATCCCCAACCTCCCACAGAAGAGGCTTTTGTCAGTGTCAAGGATAAAGATGAGCATTTGAGCCCCCACTAGTTTTGACCTAAACACATCAGGTTTCTGAGGCAGAGAAAGGCAGATTTAGATCTGCAGCTTCTAAATGAGGTCTGGAAGTAATGATAAAGTCCAACCAAGCCAACTAGGACTTTTTCTGCACCCATTTTCCTTTTGTAAAGCAGATCGAGGAGTAAACGATTTCAGATATTCACACTAACTGCCTGGCATTCAAATTTCTAAAAATAACTAGGCTTTGCTAAAGCCAGCTTTATGGTCAAATTTCATTCTGCTCCCAACTTCTAGACAGAAGTCTATCTACGATCTCAAGCTTCCAACATACAGGAAACTCCTGAAGATTGAGATAGCAGAGTAGATTGAACCAAGTAGAGGATCATATACTAGAATTGCATTCTGTACCCAACTACAGATCCAATCAGCAAAGATCTTGTACTGGTCATATCTTATACTGGTCAATATGATCAAGTCTGTTCCAGTTGGAAAGATGATGGGGAAAAAACACTTAGGACTTAAAATATAATGCAAAGACATCAAGAAGACAGTATGAGCCCAGCCTTAGTGACCAGTCCAGAGGAATAATCTGATCAAATCGAAAAATGTCATTCAGCACAACCCAGTCCTCAACTGTACATTGACCCCACAGTCTATACTGCTCTAAATAACAGCAATGAGGGGAATTAGTGTTTCAATAGTAGCATTTTAAAGAGCCAGTGTAAGACAGCTGTTAGGTTCTATTCTCACTTCATGCACCCCAATTGTCAGAGCTCAGTGGGATAGCATTAACACCTGACCTCAATTAGACACTAAGAAATGATGGAACAGCTTGCTGCTCTACCCCATAACCCACAGTGAGGTACTCCAGGCAACCCAGGTCCCTTCTTGTAAAGCCTTTCAAGCATAATTCCAGAACAAGGGCTGTTTTTTAAAATTAGCATATTTATTTTCATAAGGCAAAACTTCAGACAATATAACAATTCAATTATTAACATACTGCAACCTTTCTATACAGAAAAGAACAAACTTTCTCCTCCTCCAGATTCTTCCAGTTGTCCCCACCTCAATCTGAGCCTTTCCAGTCAGAGCTCAAGTCTCAGATTTAACATATCAACTGATCTTCTGGGATTACTTCCATGTTTCCATCAGTTTTTCCAGAATAGGATTATGGCCTTAATTGGAAACCAGATGAACAGAAAATAGGCACAACACCAAGACCTGATTCAAAGTCCATCATCTACTTTCTGCACCAAACTGGTTTCTACCAGTTCTTGTTTGGCAGATCCCTTCTAGAGATAGCACCAGTGAAAGCGTGCAAGACAATTGAATTCAGCCAAGTATTTGGAAACAGAAACATAGCACCAGTAGACAATGAAGGGCTTCTAGCACACTTGATCACCTCCACATTAGACAGGAAGTGGGTTGTCCAACAGCAATACACAAAATAAACACACCAAAAACAAAAACCCATTAGTGCCCCAAGGCATAGATTCCGCCAATATTTAAGAAAAAAGCCATCAAAGCCTTAGCTGTTGCCTACAATCTTTATTGAAGTTATACAAAAAGAATCCCCAAAAGTGAAAAAATACATTATGTACAAAACCACTTTCCCTCGGGAGAAAGGTTCTGCTCCCTCTTAACATGCAGTGCCTTCAACTGTAGCTGTAGACTCCACTGTAGACTCCACTGTCCCCTCTGTTGTTGCCGGGCTTTCAGCCTGATTCTCAGCCTGAAAGACAAAGAGCCTAGGCATAACTTACCTTGACATAAGCCATCCCATAATATATACCCAAGCAGGCTTCAGTCATAAGTGCAGGGACATTTATGACTGAAGGACATGGGTGTCCCTGTACTTTGCTATGGGAACAAGAACTACAAAGCCAGCAGTTCACACATTACATGGGAAGGATACAGTCTTGCTTTTCCATACTTTCATTGGAGAACTCAGAAAATCCCTGTCAGGCATCTTATTACTTCATAAGCAGACAATTTTCAGTACAGTAATTTTCTGTGAGTGTCTATAGGCACTCGGAAGGCCTGGCTTCCCAGCCCTAAGAGCAACAGGTGAGACAAGTAGCCAAGTCTTAACTCCCCACCTCAGCCTCCATGCTTTCTGGACAATCATTCCCACTGGGGACAGCATCCCCACTGCCTCCATTCAGCTCGGGCTCCTGTTTGGCTTTCTTTGCATCATCTTTCCGGGGGCTTTCTTCGTCTGGTTTCCTCTAAAGAGAGAAATGTGAAGGCTTCATATTTATCTTAACAAGACAAATGCAAAATAATCCCAGAGCCCCATGGTGCCAATATCTGGAACATCTGCTGCTATTACAGGGCAATGCTGACCACTACATGGGAATAAACAGGTACGTCCCAAAATATTTTTATCTTAAAATTTCCCTAGTTGGGACACAGAGAATTGGTGAGGGTGAACAGTAGAGCTCTGAGAGTACAAACAAGTTACCTACTTAGTCAGAAAACACAGAAGCAAAGATTTACCACTCGGAAAGAATTATTGATTGGAACTGTTGGCAAGTGTCAGCAAGCCTACAACTAAAGAAAATCAGCCAGACCCTAAAATATATTCATCTAATCAAGCCTACTTAGCTTTCCAAATAGCCTCCAGTCTAAGAAGCCATGAGTTTGCTAGGTAAGGTAGTCTAAGTGAAAATGGTCCATGCAAAGCCTTAGCCATTTTAAAAATGAGTGTTGCACTGTGCCACTTAGAGGGGGAGTCAACTATTGTTAGTGTATTATTTCAAACTTCTTACCCTCGGGAGCAGTCTGGAGAAAGGTTAAAAAGTAAGTAAGTAGCCGGGCGGTGGTGGCGCACGCCTTTAATCCCAGCACTCGGGAGGCAGAGCCAGGCGGATCTCTGTGAGTTCGAGGCCAGCCTGGGCTATCAAGTGAGTTCCAGGAAAGGCACAAAGCTACACAAGAGAAACCCTGTCTCGAAAAACCAAAAAAAAAAAAAAAAAAAGTAAGTAAGTACATGTAAATTTTACCTTCTTTCTGACAAGATGGGAAATATCAGTTCACACAATTTGAAGAGGAAGCACCATCTGTTGGTTTTCTACTGGCAATCTGGCAAAAATAAGCCTTTGTTATTAGCAATTTACAAAACCCTACTTGATTCATAGTAGGCTTATTGGAAAAACAAAACACAGTACACACCATGGAGACTGAGGCACCTGCTCCACTAGGAGTGAAACCTGAAGAAGAGCTCTCCACCTGTGAGATACACAGACACAAGTAAGCTGCAGCATGGCTTAAGTTACCCCCCACCCCAAGCACCCATGGCTTCGACATCACAGCAATGCCTTCTACACAAACAAAGACACCCAAGAAACTCACAGTAGGCAAGAAACTAAACCCTAGTGTCCTAAACAGAACATTCCTCAGCATGCCAGTGGCCAAGAACCGAGCCGGGCAATTTAGCATTAAGAGACTCCATGATTTAAGCCATTTCTATATATGGTATTGTCAAAAACATTCTACACACAGGTAACACAGTATTTAAACTGAAAGGCAAAGAAATGTCCATGGGCACACAAAGTAGCAGTGACAGTCTATTTGCACACTGGGCACACTTTCTAACCACTGGACTATTTGGTCTCATTCTCATCAGCTCCTCATGAAGTCAGGCAGTGGTAGCACAGTCTTTAATCCCAGCACTCGGGAGGCAGAGGCGAACAGATCTGTGAGTTCAAGGCCAGCCTGGTCTACAGAGTGAGTTCTAGAACAGTCACTGTACCTAACATACCATGTTATTTAGAAAATTTTAAGATAAAACTCAACAAACCAAAGTAGCTTTCAAGGCCAGTTCAGCTACATTCCCACTCTGCTGAGACTCCTTTGCATCTTCTATCTTTTCTCTAATTTCAGGTAGCAGTTCTTTCAGCTCCTCAATTTCTTTCTCGTATTCAGTAAATGATCCTTCAGCCTCCTTCATCTGCTCATTTAGTACAGCTACAAAGAACAGGCTTCAATCATTAGTAACAAAGAACCCTTTTTTTTTTCCCCACACAGTAAATTGCTGCATCACCTAAGCATAGAGAGGCTGCTGTTCACTCACCCATTCTCTTTTCAATGACTTCAATAGATTTGCCAAACTGTGCCACTGCCTCATCATACTGAGAGTTGTAACCGTAGGCCAAACCCAACTGATAGTGAGTCTCTGCAAGGAGACGGTCATGGGCTTCCAAATATTGTTCTTGGAGGCTTAGGCAAGCCTGGAACTCCTCCACAGCTTGTATATAATTCTCTAGTGAAGAGAGAACACCAAGAATTGTACAGCATTTAATACAAAGCACTTAACAGAAGAATTCAGTTCAGGAATGGATTCTCATTTTACATTTCTTTCTATTTCTGACCCCCTCCACCCTTTCTCTCCCTCTTTCCAAAAGGGGCCTCGCTATAGCCCTGGCTGACCTAGACGTTACTATGTAGACCATGCTGGTCTTGGGCTCAGAGATCCACCTGCTTCTACCTCCCCTGCTCATTGTTTGGTTTCACTGTCAGGATAAACCATTCACAAGGCTGTTCACTGCTCTAGGCACTAAAAGAAACTCGGACCTATTATTCTGTCTATAGAAACAGGAAAATGGAGACATAAGGGAAATTAAGAGATAACAAAATGGAAAATGCATTACCAGACTCAACACTAACTTCTCCAAGTTTAAGATGGGCTTGTGCAGCATAAAGCTGGGCTTCTTTTGTTTCTTGCCTAAAAAGAAAGATGATTAGTAAAGCCTTAAAACTAATTGTCTAATCCTAAAGTGCTATTTTTCAACCACAAATCCACATCTAAAAACACCAAGAGTTTTTACCTTTTAAAAATGATCTTTGCTAAATCCAGCATATCCCAGGCAAGCTCTAGGTTCCCAATCTCCTCCTCTTCATTTTCTTGAAGAGACTAAAGTATATCCAAATCATTGGCATTAGGCAGAAGAAGTATAAGACAGGCATCTTTTGAGAATAAATCTAAATATATAATTTACTAAGATATGAAGAAAAGAAAACTGGTTGCAACTCAAAACACAAGCCCTCTACCTTAAACCTACCAAATGAGCCCCTATTATTAGGTCTCTAATCATGATGTTGTATTTCATCTTATGATGATAAAGGATCTCTAAGCCACAACCAAGAACCAGCTAGCTACAGTTACTTTTCCTATACTAGTAACCCATAACCCTATAGTAAGA